CGGTACCGGTCCACGGACCGGTGGTTGGGGACCCCTGCCATAGAGTACTGAATACAGAGAAAAACCAAAAGACTGGAGCCTCTTATCAATATCAGTTATAGTTTTTATTGCTTTTAAAATAAAGACCAAAAAGGAAAACAAAACCCGCCAAAACTACAAAAATAATAATGATAAAAATGCAGACATTATCGGAAGAAAACACACACGCATAAAAAGTGGTTGTGGAAAAAATGAAGAAAAACAAACAAAAGAAAAAAATGCTTTGGAAATGAGGCGATGAATGTCTGGTTTCTCCTCAGACACATGACTCTTTCACTTCATCAACTCTTCTGTTGATGAGTTTGGATGGCTAGTTGAGGAACTCTGGGAGTTGAAGTCCCCAAGTCTTAAAAGTTGCCAAGTTTGTAGACCTCTGGCATAAACCAGAGGTGGTATTCAGCAGGTTCTGACCAGTTCTGGAGAACTGGTAGCGGAAATTTTGAGTAGTTCGGAGAACCAGCAAATACCACTTCTGACTGGCCTCTCCCCATCTATTCTCTGCCTCCAGATCAGCTGAATCTACTTTTGTTGCCCTGCACAGGAGAATGGAGCTGGAAATCAGGTTAGTGGGGTAGGGAGGGAATGGGGATTTTGCAGTATCCTTCCCCTGCCATGCCCACCAAGCCACACCCACAGAACCAGTAGTAATTTTTTTTTTGAATCCCATCACTGGTATAAACAATTGTCGTCCTTGTTTGTCTCATCTACAAAACATAAACAAGGAGCTGTGTGAAAATTTGCCCATCATTCACTGCAGATCCGTCCTGAAAACTATAGTACGTTATTTGATAGACCAACACAGGACCCAGTATTTTATTACAGCCAAAGTCATGTGCATAAACACATAGTCAGAAACACCACTTACTTAAGTTACCACTGGGAAGCCTTTGTTTGTCTTTAAAAACTAATAAAACTTTTTTTTTTTTAAAAAAAAGAAGACCCAGCCAATCAGCTGGGACTCGGGAGGCAGAGAATAGATGGGGGCAGGACCAGTCAGAGGTGGTATTTGCCAGTTCTTCAAACTACTCAAAATTTCCGCTACCGGTTCTCCAGAACTGGTCAGAACCTGCTGAATGCCACCTCTGACTACAATACTTAGTAGTTCCCAACAGCCAGGCCCGACTCCACGCCTACCCATCTTGGGATTCGCTTTCAGCCTGGCTGACTTCATACCCAAACACCCCACTTCTACCCAGGAAGACATATCAGCTTAGAGACGCAGAGGCTTAGAATTGCACAATAACACGGGGCCCTTCCTATTCTTGCTGCTGTGCTCTGACTGGTGAAATATTTCCTGCAGGCTGGAGACCTGCTAAAGAGGCACAGCAGCAAAGCCAGAGGGGAAAATCAATCAACGTGCCTAGGATAACAGGTATACCCACAAATCAGGAGAACCCAATTCAGCAGTGACTTGAATGAGATGTAATAGAGGCAACTGAAGAAATTGGCTGCGGCAGCGGATTTACTGGTGACATTTTTGTGTGCCAACACCAAGTGGGTTGATGGCACCATGTTAATTCCACAGTGCAGAAATGACCACAGCTGAAAGACATAACGGTTTAATAGAGAGATGGGGAATCTGTGGCCACCAATGTCGCTGAACAACAGCATCAGGCAGCTGATCAATCAGCTGCCCGGTGACTGACATTGGGAGTTGTTCTTCAGCAACATAATCTCCATCCTTCGCTTAGATTAGAAGCAGATAAACTTATGCTGAATTCCCCGGCTTTTCACCATCTGAAGATTCAGTTAGCATTGCATATGGGCTGCTGGATTGCTGTTATTTCTGGGTGATCTGCAGCTGTCCCTGGGAAATGGAATGACGTAATCCATAAGATCCCTCTGTGGTGGTGATCTTAGGCATGGAAGGCATTGTTGGGATCCCCACTGGCTGCAAGCAATGCTCATTTTATAGAGCCCTGAGGGAACAGCATTTCTATGCATCCATGGACATGCCTCCATTTCAATGTTATTTTGATGCAGACTAAGACAATTCTGTTCTTCTAGGAATAGAATAGCTTTTTCTTAAAGGCATACATTAAAATGCCTTAATTTTTTAAAAATTGTAATATTACCTGATGATATTAGTTTCATTGTTTTTACTACTACTACTACTACTACTACTACTACTACTACTACTACTACTA